GAGATGTCGTCGAATCAGCATCAAGCAATACCGAACTTTCTAGAAACATTCTTTTAAGACCAGCGTATGGTTTCTTGCCAGAACGGAAGTTACAGTGATAAAGGCATTGAAAGAAGTCAGTGAACGGGTCGAAACGTTGTCTTTATTGATATTTGTATCGTTTATTCTTTTCCCAGTAAACTGCTGTTTTCTTAAACTGGCAGTTTTGCTATTTCATTACTCGCATACTCCAAAATTACTGTTTTTGAACTTGTTCATTATGTTGAGATATAAAATCAGAAAGACTGATCAGATGAATTTGTGACCAGCTAGCGCCGTACGGGACCATCGATTTGGTTGTGAATTGAGCAGATTTTTGCAAGCCGTTTCGTAGACGAACAACCAGAACCGGTCTGTACCAATGGTTTCAGGTATCCATAGTGAACAATTTCCACTTTTTAATGAATTCAGTAATGTTTCGTTGTGAAATGATATGGCATTTGTTCTTTTGCTTGCGATCTGAATAGGGAGTTTCTTCTCGTTCACCTCCCTGCAAATTAATGGTAGAGCGAGATTCCTCAGCCTGTAACTCAGAACCAATATCTCCAGGGTTCGAGCTGTAATCAGGCCACTTTCTTCTGACTCGTCTGTCGTTATTCTTTCATCCGAGGTTTGTAAATTAGTACTACACTAGGAAAAAAATCAGAATAGTATACATTATGCATCCCACATAACTACTGTCGACCCTGCCTTTAAATTATGGCATTTCTAATTGATGACGGAAATGTACATCAGTGCCACACCATTAATTTCCTGAAAAGAAAGGAGAAAGGCGTGTAAGGAAAACTGACATTCCAAAGGTTACAGATATCGCTTTTTTTCTTTTCAAATTAAAATTTAGAGTATCATTCTAACGACCGAGTAAATCGGTTAGTTTCGATAACCGTATATCCTTTCGGATCGCGGAGGTAAACGTATCAGTGTTTCCTGTTCGTATGTTAAAGTAGTCTGGCCTTCGACAGAGGGCAAATGGAGTCCTTCCATCCATATACTTCAGCTTAAACTTGGCTGAGCCCCGGTATAGTAGCTCTTTAGTCTTCCTTTCTGAAAGCACTCGCAACACATGCCGAAATATCAATCTGAAGAAGTAGTGGCTATGCACTAAGGTTCTCACGGATTTCTGTACTGCGGACCGTGTCCAGGCGCGTAAGGCAGCAGCTCGTCTCAGAAAACAAATTTTAGCGGGTTATATTCTGGATCGAAGTTTTTCGTTCATGGCCCTTGACTGATTTACTTTTAAAAATAGTGATATTTCCCGTGTAAGAGTAGTTTACGCTCTTTGGGGGTGACAATGAACGAGCCAATTTTAGTGACCGCGCAAGCACCAGTTCAGATAAGGTCAGAAAATTTTTGTAAACCAATTTATTTTACATCGATTGACAGTGCTTCCTGACGTACGAAGTTAAAGTACTGTTATTTTGTCCTTGCCACCACATCTTAAAGTTGTTCACCACTTTGACCGTTAACGAATTTTATTCTGCTACCGTTGCAAGTTACATTTATGTGATTTGTAGTAGTTAAAGTATATCGCTACGCTTACTACCTTGCTGCGTTAATATTTACATGCAAATAATGACCGACAAATAATGCCAGATGTGAGGTTGGTTTTACTTGTCATTACAGGGAAGCTGATGATTGGTGCTACTATTACTATCCGTACTGATAATGTCTCTTGTACTTAGTATTAAATCTAATTGATGAATATTCGCAGCTGCCATATGATCCTTTTTTAATTAATAACTAAAATAACATTTGCTGTACCAGTTAATAATAATGTCTTTCGAACGTTCCCTTCTCTTTGAGTGAAATCTTGCTTAGCGTCATAAATGGCCAGGAACTTTGTTTACGTCCTTTGCTTTAGTAAAATTGATCGTTACCGAATGCCGCTATCTTTTCTTGTCGCTTTACTCTATTTTCATGTTTCTCATTTGCCGTGCTTGAGATTCGTCGCACACCTTGCTCGTAAGACGCAAGACGTATTTCTCCTTTACAACAATAAAACTCTACCCAACACAAACTGTTGTTTTGCTAACTCGATGGCGTATGCCAGAGATCGCCCGTTGTGCCTTCAGTCGTAGTCAGAGTTTTATCTACACTTGTTTCACCTCATTTCACCACCATCACTGTTTGGCCGTGGATCCTGCAGTGACTCGTTACCGATGACCGACTGGCGCTGTCGATCATCCTGTCCCTGTCTTCAGATCGGCTTTTCCGTATAGTTCGTTTCACAACCGGTGTCGTAGCACTTGTCGTGATCGTCTATGGTACCGCCGACTGTTTGCTGCTAATCGTCATTTGCCTCAAGAAAGGTGGAGGTTCGACACCTGATGATAGGCTGCCGATTTCGCACCTGATCTGCATGACTTAGTTCATCGACTTGTTTGTGGTGGATGTCGCCTGCTTGTACGGCCTCTTATGCCTGCAAGCCGTTACTTTAGCCAGTTCGTCGCTCAGTGAAAACATCAGTCCGTGTTTCCGCCTGCGCAAGGCATATATCCATTACGGCCACGATCCACTGGAGCTCGAGTGACCCCCGATGCAAATCGATATATTTCCTGGCAATATTTTGTGTTAGTGCCATCGGCATCAAAATCAGCATAGTCGTTACCACTGAGGTGAACATGATGACAGAGAATAATGATCATTCATCGATGGCAATGGTTAACGAACTCGTTTCCGACACTTGCTTCATGTCCTTGATGGAGTGCATCTTAATGTTACCATTTTGCTCTTTTTCCTCGTCCTGTATTTTGTCGTTCCCAAAACAACCAACATCGCCTAATTCATTTTGAGAAGCCAAAGCGTAGAACTCTCCCAAATCGTTAGTCTGGGTACTCGTTCTTTAACTCTGATATCTCAGATGACAATAACAGCAACAATTTTACCTTTGATATCTTCTATGATGAAGAATCGTAGATACATTACCACAGCTTGCAGTCTGCTTTGCATCAGTCTGCCCCAAACCCAATACGGATCTCAGAAAAGGAAAACCGTCCCTCAGGGCGTGTTCGATTAGCCAAAGATACCTCAAATGTCCAAGCCCGGGTGGAATTTTGCTTGTCTCTAACCGCTCTCTGTCACTGGTGTATTTGCGCCATTTCGATTATATATCTCTGACAATAATTAACCTGTTTGCTAAATATGCTATCTTGGATTATATCGCACTTATCGATAAATAGCAAAACTCAGTCGAGACTCTGAACTCTTCCTTCGTGGTTTCAGAAACTTCTGCAAGGCTAAATTTAGTTTCTTCTGTCCCTCTTGTTAACTCTAAGTTTCGAGCAGATGTTTCGCGAGAATGCCAAGCAAGAAATTTCCTTGTCGCCTATTCTCATCCCGCTAATTCATAATTGAATCTAAATGAAGAGACTGCTTTCGTATCGCTTTCGTTTCCCAGCATTTGTTATCAGTTGTTTTTACGCCGGTCTTTTTTAAACTGCCGATGACTCTTCCAACACCAGATTTAGCGGCATACCCGTTTCCTTGCTCTTCGCTGCCTAGGGGGAACTGGGCATTTAAGCAGGTCACAGCGCCATCATATTTCATTACCTGCAGTGCCAGATGCAGCTCGCATCATAGGGTTCATTACAGCCTCCTCATCTGGAATGGTGTTTCAGGAGTTCATACTCTTTATATGCTACCGCATTGACAGCATTAGCTGTTTGTACATCAGAGTATGCAAATAACTAATGGCACGTTCCAGTACAGGTTTCACGGCGTCATAACCGTATCTTTGCTCTTAGTTGTCTAGGAAGCAATTTCAGCAGGTCACGGCTCCACTGTATTTTAGTTCCTGCAGTGCCAGGTGTAACTTTCTGCTAGAGGTTCTTTCCGCTCATCAGGTCGATGTTTCAGGAGTCGGCGATCCTCATAAGCTGCGTATAAACATCATAAGTCGTTCGTACGCCGAAGTATGTCAAATATATAATGGTTCCTCCGTGACCATTTCGCTAATGCTCATGTATGCCTGCTTAGGTAGCCTCCTAGCAAACTAGGAGCAAGAGGATGGTACAGTAAGCCGTGAAATCTGGTCTTGGAGGGGACAGTTGTTCTGTGTTGTCTGTGGTGTTTGGTGTTGATTTCACTGAATCTGTTTAGAAACAGATCCCTAACCTTTCATTTTTTATTTTATTATAGAATGGACTCTTTTTAGAGCAATTCAATAGGCGTGCTTACTCGGCTAGTAGTTTGCTTTGAACTTTATATATGCCTGATTCAAACCCATGGTGGCGTAGATATTATGATATTAACTGCCGGTTCCCCGTTATAAGAAATTCACCCCATTATGATGCGGAGCACCTAACGGAAAACGAGTTGTGGGTCTCAAATTAATAAATTGTTATGCTGTGGTAGTTCCAAATCGAGGACGTGGCCTTGTTATCTGCTGCTTCCGCTTTCCGGCTGCAACTTTTATGATTAACTTAATTGCTGATCACAAAAACCAGTAAAAGATTCTGAAATAAATTTAAAATATAGATTAATTTCAAAGGTTTCGCTTAGATCGTAAAATTTTTTATCACACTAGTCTGTCCACGATTCGAAATTGAGTGATGGTTACCTGGTGTATGGTTGCTCCGAAACGCATTAGAATGAAGATTGATGGGTATCTTGATGAAGAGGAGGATAGGATTCGGCTAATAAGGTACGTAGGGAAGAAAAATTACTTAAGAGCTTCGATAAATTCGTTTTTTATTTTCCACAGTATTTGTATTTAACTTAATATGCAATAATTCTACTCTTCCGGACAGTGAAATATGAATTTTTGCTTTGTTTATGTCGATCTCTGATCGCACTCGAGTGTCCAAGCAGAACTAGGACTCATTATGCTTATCATGCCTTTTATCGTGTTTTTTCCAGCATG